TGGATGTCTTCTTTGGAAAAATGTCTGTTCATGTCTTCTGCCCATTTCTTGATTGGATTATTTGTTCTTTGGGTGTTGCGTTTGATAAGTTCTTTATAGATTTTGGATACTAGCCCTTTATCTGATATGTCATTTAGCTTTGCCTGTTTTTGACCTTTATATAGATAGAATCATAAATTATGTGTTATTTTGTGAATAGCATATGTTTTTAGAAACACAAACTACTGTTAAGCAACTCTTTGAATACTGACTTCTAGAGGATAAATTGTCTAATCTGTAGAGAAATCTCTATTAACTACAGAAAATTGTATATTTGGGTCATTGGTCTAATCTCCTTTAAAAAGTATTCTTAAATTGGGGCGCCTGGGTGGCTCAGTCGTTAAGCATTTGCCTTTGGCTCAGGTCATCATCCCAGGTTCTTGGGATTGAGCCCCGCATTGGGCTCCCTGCTCAGCGGGAAGCCTGCTTCTTCCTCTCCCACTCCCTCTGCTTGTGTTCCCTCTCTCACTGTGTCTCTCTCTGATCTTTTAAAAAAAATGTTCTTAAAAAGGATAGCACACATATGTACCCATATCTCCTAAAAAGGAATGTTTTATCTTTATAGCTTTAGCATATCTTAAACTAAGCTTATTATATAAGTGATTTTTAAAAAGAAATAAGTTTTTTTTAAAGATTTATTTATTTTTAGAGAGAGAGCGAACATACAGTGGGGAGGGGCAGAGGAAGAGGGAGAGAGATAATCTTAAGCAGGCTCTCCACTCACAGTCCTGAGATCATGACCTGAGCTGAAATCAAGAGTCAGACGCCCAACCAACTGAGCCACCCAGGTGCCCAAAAAGAAATATGTTTTAATTTTAAAACCTGATCTTAAAGGATGCCTGGGTGGCTCAGTCAGTTGAGCGTCCACCTCTTAGTTTCTGCTTGGGTTATGATCTCATGGTGAACCCTGAGTCAGGCTCTGCATCCAGGGTGGGAATCTGCTTGAGGATTCTCCCCGTCTGCCTCTCCTCCTACTCACGCTTTCTTTCTCTCTCTCTCTCAAATAAGTATATAAATCTAAAACCTAGTCTTAAAAAATCCATCCTTATCTGAAAAGAAAACAAAACAATGTCTTCCCAGTTCCTGGATTCAGCCCAATCATAATGTGATCTATTTAGAATTTAAAATTCTAAGCAAACATTACTACAGCCCAACAGAAATTAAAAGAATTATAAGGGAATGTTATGAACAACTGAATGCCAAAAATTTTGACAATTTATATAAAATAGAAATTCCTAGAAAAAGACGAATTACCAAAACTGACCCAAAATGAAATAGAAAATCTGAATGGACTTATCCCAAGTTAAAAAAAAAAAATCACATTTATTTTTAAAAATCTTCCCACAAAGACAAGATGCTTCATTGGTGAATTCTTTCAAACTTTAGGGAAGAAATAGTTCCCTATTCTGAACAGTTTCTCTGCTATTTCAGAGAATACTTTCTGTCCCATTTTATGAAACCAAACATCAAAGCCAGGCCAAAAAAAAAAAACCCACAAGAAAAGGAAACTATAGTTCAAAATTTCTCACAAACTTAGATGTAAAAATCCTTAACAAGATATTAACAAATCCAGGAACATATAAAAAGATTTATATAGCATGACCAAGGGGGATTTTACTCTGGAATGCAAGGTTGGTTTTACATCCTAAAACTCAGTCTAATACACCAGAAGTAACGAAAGACAAAATCAGAATATGATTGTTTTGGTAATGCAGAAAAAGCATGTGACAAAATCCAACACCTTTTTATTATAAAAACTCTCAACAAATTGCAAAAACGAGGGCAATTCCTCAGTTGATAAATGGCATCCACAAAAAACCTAGTTAACATAATATTTAATGGTGAAAGATTGCATGCTTCACCCCTAAGATTGGGAAAAAGGCAAGGATATTTGTTCTTGTTACTTCTGTTCAACATTGTGCTAGAGATTCCAACTAAGGCAATAAGGGATAATAAAAAGGAAATTAAAGGCATCCAGATTGGAAAGAAGTAAAACGTCTTTAGTCACAGATGACATGATCTCATATGTAGAAAATCCTAAGGAATCTACCAAACAAAGTGCTAGAACTAATAATTGAGTTTAGCAAAGTCACAGGACCAAGATCAAAATACAAAAATCATCTGAAATTATACACACAGACACAACATTTTGCACATATAAATCAAAAATGCAAAGGAACAAGGAACAATCCAAAGCAAGGAACAATCCAAAAATAAAGTTAAGAAAAACAATTCCCTTCACAATAGAATCAAATAGAATAAAATACTTAAGAATAAATTTTTTTTTAGAGGATTTTATTTATTTGACAGAGAGAGACACAGCGAGAGAGGGAACACAAGCAGGGGGAGTGGGAGAGGGAGAAGCAGGCTTCCCTCTGAAGAGGGAGCCCGTTGCGGGGCTTGATTCCAGGACTCTGGGATCATGACCTGAGCTGAAGGCAGATGCTTAACCATCTGAGCCACCCAGGCACCCCAAGAATAATTTTTTTTTAAATTTTATTTATTTATTTGAGAGAGAGAGACAGCACAAGCAGGGGGAGGACCCCAGAGGGAGCGGGAGAAACAGGCTCCCCACTGATCAGGAAGCCCGATAGGGGGCTCGATCCCAGGACCCTGGGATCATGACCTGAGCTGAAGGCAGATGCTTACCTGACTGAGCCACCCAGGTGCCCCAAGAATAAATTTAACAAAAACTCTGAAGTAAGGCTTTCCTCTGTAGAGGAAAGAGCATTCCTGCATTCTTATTTCAGCTTTGCCTCTGAGTAATTGCATATAATTCATATAATTTCTTTGAACCTTGTTTTCCTCATCTTTAAATTGAGAATTATTGTGCTTCTTGCCTCACAGGGCTGTTATGAGCACTAGAATATATTTATAGTGTAAAGCATTATACAGTGATAATCATACTTAATAAAGCATACAGAAGCTATTTGCCTTCCCAGTCCCCTAGTTGAAGTGGTATGAAAATGTACTTAAGAACCTTGGCAATTTTCAGGGCGCCTGGGTAGCTCAGTCCTTGGGTGTCTGCCTTCGGCTCGGGTGGTGATCCCAGGGTCCTGGGATCCAGCCCCACATAGGGCTGCCTGCTTACCTTGAAGCCTGCTTCTCCCTCTCCCACTCCCCCTGCTTGTGTTCCCTCCCTCGCTGTGTCTCTCTGTCAAATAAATAAATAAAATCTTTAAAAAAAAAAAAAAAAAGAACCTTGGCAATTTCATCACATAGAACAGGGTCGGGTGTTGTGCCAGGTAGTGGAGGAACCATTATTCTGGACCCAGTTAGTTGGGACTCTGCTTAGTTTCCCAGCCACCTTGCTCAATATTACCCTGAAATCACCAGTAAGACATTTATCTTTCCTATCATGATTTACTGATTTACTCATTTGGTAAAAGGTTGCAACTTTCACTTGTCATTTTGAAATGCCTTTTTTTCTTTTGTTATGGCTTTAGGAGGAATTTAATCACCAGTATATTGAATAACTGATTGTTCTTTAGAGTTGCCATTTTTTGAGTATTTCAGTCTATACCATTGAATTTAACTTTCTTTTCCTTCACTTTCCTCTTCTTAAGGGCTTACAGCAGCCAGCTCCTTTTTCTGACGAAATTGAAGTTGACTTTAGTAAACCCTATGTCAGGGTAACTATGGAAGAAGCCAGCAGAGGAACTCCTTGTAAGTAAATGCCTAATTATACTGTTGTTTTACTCTTGTTTTTAGCATTCAGTTGTATTTATCAAACATACACGTACTTTCTATATTCTTTCCTCAGTTTACTTGTAAAGGCTAGTTAGGGGAGGGTTTCCTCCCATCTCCCAGTTGTTCTCTTTGGGAAAAATAACTGCACTCCATAAAATTTTATTTTTTCTTCTTCTTATAAGCTTGTTTTCTGTGATGTTGTTACAGCTTGAGATATAGTGGAACAGGATATTAGGATATTAGCCCGAGCTGGATTATAATCTCGTCTGTATTTACAAAGGTCCAAAAATATGTCAGGCTGTCAACATTTTTAATAGCCTTCAGAATTGTCCCCCAGATCTCCCTTTCTATAAGTTAGTACCCTAGCTATGATGCTGCTATAGGACAAAAATATCCTAAGTGGGTAGATTCTTATCACTTAACTTTATCTTTACTGATATTTTTTAGGTTTTTTTTAAAGACTCACTTTATTATTTTTAAACCCTATACTCTTTATTTGTATGCTTAGTTTACATCATTAATGAGCTATTTTTGACTACATAAATTATTAATATATATTCTAGTTACTCTTCCTGTTTTGGACAAGTGGATTTAGGGATCATCATAAAGAGAAACTTCCTTGAGTGTTAGGAATATAAAGTCCTATAGGCAGCTGTCCTTACTTATTTGTAAATTCTCCAATTCTTTTTTTCAATCCTTTTTTGGTTCTTTCCATTACTATGGTAATTGTTCTGTCTACTCTGTAAATGTAGGCCTGCACTCAAACCCAGGCAAGTACTAGGGAACAAGAGGTAGTTACAGCCACAAGTCTATACATTTCCACTATATAGAAGATATTTGTGGTTACTTCTTAATAGTGTTAGTATGTTTGCTCTCTGTTGTAACTGAAGAGTAGCAAAATATGAATAAACATGAATCCTGGACAATTTCAGGCCAGGGATCCCAGTACTCCTTAGCTATTTCTTGGCTATATGAAGCATAGCTTTTGAGTCCTCAAAATTCCAGAGAATGCTTTCTTTTTGCAAAAGTGTTTAGTTGTAGCTCATGTTGATCACGACCCTTCTGACTCATGATGGTATTTTGGACTTGGCTCCCCTTGAGTAATAAGCAGGCCAATGGGGCAGGGTAAAATGACAACAAAATGACAAAACAGTGTAGTGGTGGCAGGTCAAATTTCAAAATGCCATCAAACAGTTCAAGGATCACATTCACATGTGATAGTAGACCTGTTGAAGGCAAGATCTTTTCATGGGGGCTCTCTAATAACACACATTCAGAATGTAGTACTTCACTCAGATCTGATCACATTGTCTATATTACCCAGCTTATTGCTAATCTATCCACAAATCACCTATGGTACATAAAATGTTTGTGTGTGCATGTGTACTATTCCCAAGTTTTAAAGCTTATAGTTAACAAGCACTAACTAATCTAATTTTTAACAATTGTAGAATTAGAATTTTAACAATTTTAGAATTTTGTAAATAAGTCATTTTTTGAGATTATCTACTTTATCATCTCTTCATTATATACATGAAGAAATTGAAGTCCTCAGAAACTAAGAAGTGAAAGCTTCCCTATAATAAAACAAATAATTAGTGATAGAATTGAAACTAAAACCTAAGTTTTTCCATCTTTGTGTTCTTTTCACCCTGGAGTGATGCTGCTCTTTGTAGACATTAGTTATAAATAATAGAAGGCCATTGGCAAACTGATTGCATTTTAGGTAGAACAGAGAGTCACAAATTAGCCTATGAAGTTGGCTGGTCTAATCTGGTCTCCAGTTTTTCTCCTATATCTCGTTCTGTCTGTTCAGTCTTAAGTTAAATAACCACGTGACTATTCAGTGTTGGACAAGGAGTAAACCAATAAACCAATAAAGAATCTGCACATGCCACAATTAGTGAATTTTAAACCAATAACTTGTACAAGGGGGCATCCTTCCCCGCCCCCCCCAACACCATGTCTTCACTAGGGAGGTTAAGGGAATACAAGAATGGAGTTGGTATAATCTAGGAGAAAACTCACTACCCAGAGAAAAAACAAATATAGCTTGAGAGATGAAAAGCTTATTTCTTTTGGAAGATGAAAGAAAAAAGTCAGCAATATGTTTTCTAGGAGAAAGGGGAAAAAAAGGCAAAGTCTGAAGGGCAATGGAATCTGTTAGGGGCAAAAGTTTTGGTGATAAGTATTTGAGAGAATATATCAAAAGATGCAGTAAATTGAAACACAGATCTGTTCTGCCTAAAGGAAAACATATATTTATTTAGCCAACAGTAGTGCAAGGACTATAATTTATAATACAAATCAGGACCATTTTGAAAGTGAAAGGGGGTTGCTCTTAATAATAAGCTGAGACAATATATAAATCAGGGTTTGGTCATCCTGGCCAGTAGACACTTGGTAGGAGAATGAATAACTCGTGCTGTTCCCCGCATTTTCTCATTCAACAGTGGTCCTTTCTAGCCATTTGGTTACTATATTAGCCTGGGTTTGCTAAAGACTTGGGGGTAAGTCATGGGGAATTGAGAGTTTAGGAGGCTGCGGAAACACTGAAGAGGGCAAGAAGCACATTTGGAGTTTGGTCTGAGAAAGGGTTTGGTGGTGACTTGGCCTGATAACAGGATGATTAACCCTGACAAACAGCCAGTCAATCAACAGCATTCTGTACTACTGTACTGTTTCCACCATCCTCATCTCACTTTGCCCATGCTATACGCTAATGTCAAAGGAACAACAACAAAATATTCTTAATTTTTGTATTCTATGCTTTGTCTTTTAGGATCAAAAAAGGGAGATCATAGTCATGCTGGACTTGTTTAGGAAAGATGGAAGTATGTTACTTCATGGCCATGATTTCTAGGATGTAGAAGACAGATTAGGCTCCTCAGATTTTGTTTTCTTTTGCTTTGTTTTATGGATGAGGAAACTGAGTCTTAAAGAGGTTATGATTACAGAGGAAGGAGGCTGGTGGTTAAGTTGGAGCTGTAATTTTTCTGACTCTTAAATCCATTATATTATTTGTTTTTCGTTGTATTGGCATATCTGTTTTATTTAAAAATTTCATTTCCTATATTATAAACCAATACATTCCCATGGCCTAACATTAATAAAGTACAAACAGGGTACGGAGTGAAACGTCTTCCTATTATCACTATCTCACAGCTACCCACTATCCCTCCCTCTCACCCTTTTAGTAGGTGTATCATGGTACATTCAGTCCTTCCATTGAGATTTAGGTTGTTTCCAAACTTTGATTATTACAAACTATGCTGCAATGAATAACATACATATTTACAAATCTTATCTGTGAGAAAAATTCCTAGAACTAGAATAGCTGGGCCATTGTAGGTGTAGCTGGGCCATTGTAGGAGATAAGAAAACATCCGATGACTTTAGGTACTTTCCAGAAAAAAAGAGTAAAAGCATTTGTCTTTTGATAGATATTGTCTAATTGCCCTTTTTTAGAAGATTTTATTTATTTATTTGAGAGAGAGCATGTGCATGCTTGGCGCACGAGTAGGAGAAGGAAGAAAGGGACAGAGGGAGAGGGAGAAGCACACACCCTGCTGAGCAGGGAGCCTGATGCAGGGCTCCATCCCAGGACTCTGGGATCAAGACCTGAGCCAAAGGCAGATGCTTAACCAACTGAGCCACCCAGGTGCCCCTCTAACTGCCCTTAAAAGTTGTACCAATTTATGTTTCTATCCCCAGTGTATGATTTCTCAGTTTAAAAGCTATTTATTTATCGATAAAGCTATCTGGAAAGAAAAGTCCACAGACCTTTTGAGAACCAGTTTTCTCCCCCTTGATCCATTGTCCTCAAGACGGGAGGGAGAAGATGTATCTTACCCCTACCTTCAGGATGGTATATCTGATGCGGCTCCCCTTCTTTCCCAGAATGATGTAGCTGCTCCTACTGTTATTTTCTGCTGCTATAGTTAAATACTCTTCTTTTATTCACATATGGGAATATGTTACTAGGACTTGTTAGATTTATTATTTGAAGCATTATGTCAAATCCATCCTCAGTGTGTTTGTTTGACTTTGGTATTAGTCTTGTGCCCGCAAGAGATCATTCATTACCTGGATTTTCTTTCATAGTCCACTACTACTAAAAATAGACTATCTGTTCTCTGTTATTCTCACTAATGGAGAGAAGAGGAAAAACTCTTAACATGAAGTCCTATAAGATTGATATTTGACTTTTAAATACTTAGTATATCACCCTCTACTGAGAAAGTATAACATCATGCTCACTGTCAGGAGAAATACTTGAAGGAATCCCATCTGTCATCACAGAGCAGATATTGAGGGTGACTGGGACTGAGAAGCAGTAAATTGGTAACTGATCCCTACACCCCTTTCACCTTCCCTGTCACACCCCTCTGGATCACTTCTTACTCACGGGGCAGTTGGAGGGAGGTTTATTTTCAAAGCAAAGCTTAGTTATTAGTAATCAGGGCAGCCTGAAAATGAGAGAGCAAGCAGCGGGAGTATAGCTTAACTACACCCTGTTTAAATGTGACTGAAATTTAGGCATAAGCTGAAGGTGAGGATGTTATGTTATGTAGTTCTTCCCATTCACTTTTTTTTTTTTTTTAAGATTTTATTCATTTGAGAGAGAGAGCATGAGTGAGCAAGCAAGAGAGCACAAGTGGCAGAGGGAGAGGGAGAAGCAGGCTCCCTGCTGGGCTGAGAGCCCGATGGTGGGGCTCAATCCTAGGACCCTGGGACCATGACCTGAGCTGAAGGCAGACGCTTAACCGACTAAGCCACCCAGGTGCCCCTTCCTATTCATTTCTAAAATAACTTCAAGAAAAAGCAATCATGAAATCCATTTACATGAGCAGTTTGATGAAATCAGGCTAACAGAGAGTCAATGGGTGTGATGTCAAAAAAGGGTCTTTGGAGCCAAGGAAGTCTGTGATACTATTCCTCACCACCCCAACCCATCCTTCCATTAGGATGAATATCCAGAGAACACCTTGAGAAAGGGATATGCAAGGATGGAACACAGTGCCATTTCTATTTGTCATATATGAAGTGTTGAATCGGTGTGTTTTTGTAATCAATTATTTCCTTTGGATTTAGGTGATCGGCCTGTGAGAGTTTATGCCGATGGAATATTTGACTTATTTCACTGTGGTCATGCCCGGGCTCTGATGCAAGCAAAGAACCTTTTCCCTAATACATACCTCATTGTAGGAGGTAAGAAAACATCTGATGACTTTAGGTGCTTTCCAGAAAAAAAAAATTATAGTAGCCTTTTTCTCCTGTTGTAACATGAATACTGGCTCTTAGTTTGGTTTTTAAATGAGGGATATAGAACAGCCTCTCTAAAACATGAAGTATATGAATTATATAAACCTGGTGAGAGAAGCTCCAAGCTCTTTGACCTGAGATGTCCAGTTTTTATGTTTTTAGCTGAGTTTCTGCAGTTTGGGGAGCAACAGTGACCCCTATTGCCTACTTAAGAACAGCATTTATTCTAGATTTCAATTTGTCTTTTTTTTTTTCTTTAGATTTTATTTATTTGAGAGAGAGAATGTGTGAGGTGGGTGGGAGGAGAGAGAAGCAGAGAGGGAGGGAGAAGGACAAGCAGACTCTGTGCTGAGCATGGAGCCCAACAGGGGTCTCGATCCCAGGACCCTGAGATCATGACCCAAGCTGAGACCAAGAGTCAGATGCTCAACTGACTGAGCCACCCAGGCATCCCTGTTTATCATTTTGAATCAACTGAAGTGCAAAAGTCTGTTAAGCAAATATTATGTGGTCCAGTACAGTCTTATGAAAATATAATAAAACATTTTTAAAAACTTAAGTGATGCAGAAATTCACAACAGGTTAATTTCAAAGCCAAAGATTTTAGGCCCTTGTTGTATCCTCTCCTCTCCGAAGTGTGAACGTGCTTTTTATTGAGCATTGGTCCTGAAGATGTATCTTGGATTAGGAAAAGCATTGTTACTCAGACTGAGCTGTATCCAGAAAATTCTTCTCCAGGTGGGAAGATTGGTTGCAGTCCTAGGAAACGGGAGAGGTTGGTGACTGAGGAATGGTTAAGCAAAGGGACTTTGACTTACAACTTTATGATGTGGTGAACTCAGTTTGCAGTGATGAGCTTACGCACAACTTCAAAGGCTTCACGGTGATGAATGAAAATGAGCGCTATGATGCAGTGCAGCACTGCCGCTATGTGGATGAGGTGGTGAGGAATGCCCCCTGGACCCTGACACCAGAGTTCCTGGCAGAACACCGGGTAAGAAACTGAGCACATGTCCCCATTCCTTGTTTTGGAATTCTCTCAAACCTCAAGACTTCTGGGACTTAGGGTAGTTTTCCACTAGCCTTTTTTTTTTTTTTTTTTTTACTTTATGCTTTATGTAAATTTCACATAGAAGAGATGACAGTGATATTACTACTAATAATAATCATCCCTAACATTTATATGGGTTTTGGTGGTTTACAAGCACTTTTACATCCATTATATTTCATTTGCTCCCCAAAACAATCTTATTGGGTAGCTATTATTTCTACTGTACATATGAGAACAGAGCCAGAGAAACCAAATGACCTGGTCCAGGATACACAGTAGCAGGGCTAGAAACTGAACTCTTCAGTTAAGTGATTTTTATACTCCCACACTATGAAGGTGTCCATCCTCCTAACCATACCAGTCCTTTAGAATATACAGAGCCTTAGCTGTGCTCTCAAGGAGTTCCAGGAAACATAGACTTCTCTTATACTGACTTAAATCTAGTTTTAGGGCTTTGATTTTGGGCTAGAAATTGTATGGGATCAGAAACCGGGAGGTTTCCCATTTTTGCTCATTGAGTTAGTAGTCTAAAACCCCTCACTCCTTTTAATTCTCACATGTTAAAGAAACAAGTTTCCTATAAATGGCGGGTATAAAGGGTGAGAAGGGTTTATCAGGTCAGGGTGAGGTCCCCAAGCTTGAGGAACCAGCAAGCATATTGTCAGTTCTCAGCAGGGGTATGTGGAATGTCAAAGGTGAGTTGTTCAATGAGGCAGAAAGAAAAAAGTAGCCAAAGTGCTTCAAAAGCAATACTTGGGGGTAGGCCTGAAGCTAAAGGGTATTTGTTAAAACTTTTGGGATTAGGGGCGCCTGGGTGGCTCAGATGGTTAAGCGTCTGCCTTCGGCTCAGGTCATGATCCCAGGGTCCTGGGATCGAGTCCCGCATCGGGCTCCCTGCTCCTTGGGAGCCTGCTTCTCCCTCTGCTTCTCTCTCTCTCTCCCTCTCTCTCTCTCCCTCTGTCTCTCATGAATAAATAAATAAAATCTTTAAAAAAAAAAAACTTTTGGGATTAGGACAGACCTTTTATAGTTCTCTAGCTTTTCTATATCAGTACTTGGCAGCCAATGGTACCAAAGGTGATGAATAAGATTATTCTCAGCAACCACAGCCAGGCAGGCCCAGGCAGAAGAGGTTAGAGGAACTTTTTTTTTTTTTTTAAAGATTTTATTTATTTATTTGACAGAGAGAGACACAGCAAGAGAGGGAACACAAGCAGGGGGAGCAGGAGAGGGAGAAGCAGGCTTCCCGCGGAGCAGGGAGCCCGACATGGGGCTCGATCCCAGGACCCTAGGATCATGACCTGAGCCGAAGGCAGACGCTTAACGACTGAGCCACCCAGGTGCCCCTAGGAACTTTTAACTTCCCATTTCTCCTTGTTAGCAGTGAATCCTCAGCCAGCAGTCCTACCTGGCCACCATTCTTATTTACACTTTGCTGCCTATCAATCCCTGACAGATTGTTCATAGGTAATCAGGATGTTAGCTGAGAGTCTCTGACACATTCCTAATAGACATGCTTCACACTACAGTGGCTTCTGGGAATTAGGTATAGTAGTTGTATTAGCAATTACATTAGTAAAAGGCATATGGCCTACTCAGGAATGACTAAATAAGTAAGGTTAGCATATCTCTCCGAAAGATTATTGATCCCAGTGCTATTGATCTCTTTTCACTGTTGCAAGAGGTATTGACAGTAGTAAAATGATAGAGCCCAAGACCTAAAGGTCTTTTATGGCTTCGAGTTTTACATTCCTCAGGAGTATAGATGTATCTGTTCTAGTAAAAGGGCTTTTGGTTGCTATTTTTATATTCCCACTCATCTCATGGACTGAGAGAGAAACCAGCTAAGGAAGAAGTGACCTCTTTTGCATATTTTTAGAAACCCTTATTTGACCAATCTTTATAGACCCAGGAGGATGGGGAGATTTCCTTTCTTCTTTCCTCAGCTCCACTCACTAACTAACACACCAGCAAATCCTCTAGTCGTGTTTACTACAGCATGATGACTGGTGTGCAGTGTGAGGGTAGCGCTTCCAGTAGACCAGGAGAATTAGCTAAAAAAAGAAACTGATCAACTTCATATTTATGAGTGATAAATAATTAGATTGGGTGGCTTGTGAATGAGTCATAGAATTTATGAAGCAAAGCAAAGAGAGATAAAGAAAAAAAGTCCATTTGAGGCCTGGCCTCCCCTTGTCCTTTATCTGGATCTGGGGGAGTATTTACTGGGAGAGTATTTTCTGGGGGAATATTTACTGGTTCTTTTTGATGGCAGTGATCCTGGGTTTTAAGTGATGTTTCCTTATTTCAGATTGATTTTGTAGCCCATGATGACATCCCTTATTCTTCTGCTGGGAGCGATGATGTTTATAAGCACATCAAGGAAGCAGGTGAGTAATCTGATGTACATCCTCACTTTATGGAGTCTCAGGAGCAGTAACAGAGATTTAATGACTGCTACTTTACAGAGGAAAATTTATACACTTAGAAATTCAATATACTTTCAATCACACTTCAGATAAGAGGTTTATGTGAGCATAGCACTGATATCCATCAATTCTCAGTCTAAACATCTACTTTTGACATCTCTTTTAATTTTAGGAATCTCTCTCTCCCAGGCCCATATTTTTTTTTAATATTAGGGCCATATAGTTCTTCCTTTCCTTACCCCTAGCATTTGAGTCAGTCCTCCTTCTGTATGTCAGTATCTCCAGACTTCACTTAGTAATAGAAGACATTTTTTGAGGAAAAGAATGTTGCTCCCAGTGTCCATCTAGTCCTACTGCCTGAGTTAACCAGAATGTCACAGTGTTTGTATGTGTTCTTGGATTAGGTATGTTTGCACCAACACAGAGGACAGAAGGTATCTCCACATCAGACATCATCACCCGAATTGTCCGGGACTATGATGTCTATGCCCGACGGAACCTCCAGAGGGGCTACACAGCAAAGGAGCTCAATGTCAGCTTTATCAATGTGAGTTCCGACTTCATCCCAGAGTTCCCTGGCCCTATTGGACACACGTTTGCCTCCTACTTTATCTGAGCTAAAGTTGCTTTTCAGTCTTCTGTAATTATCACCTCCAAAATTCAATGAATGCCTCTTTGCTGATTACACTATGCTAAGCTCTTTACAAAAAGAATAAAACAGAGGCATTCTCTGCCTTTATGGTCTAGTATCAACACATTGATATAAAGACACACAGCCAATTAAATAAGAAGATGTTACTTCGGCTTAGGTCTTGATCCCAGGGTCCTGGGATCGAGCCCTGCATCGGGCTCCCTGCTCAGCGGGAAGCCTGCTTCTCCCTCTCCCGCTCCCCCTGCTTGTGTTCCCTCTTTCGCTGTGTCTGTCTCTCTGTCAAATAAATAAATAAAATCTCAAAAAAAAAAAAAAAGAAGGATACTTAACATAGTACAGTATTTATATCAAATATATTTAAAACAGTTTTTTTTTTTTTTTGATTGGATGGTCTTTGGAAAATGTAATGAGAGTTATGGATCCTCTCCCTGTGTGGATAGTGGCACACAACATTTTCCATGCAATTTCTCAGGGCATGTGGACCTAGGTTTTAAAATTTGATTTATGAAAGCAAAGTTTATCTTAGCTTAATACTGCCTTTTAGAAACAAACTGCTATACATGTTGTATATAAATTTTATCTTAATAAAGTTGATTTTAAAAGAAGAAAGCTGCTAACTATACTTCTATACAAGTAGTTTACCATGCTCCCTTACCTGCTGCCAGTTGTGTGAATAATGAATAGATGAAATGGTTTCATCGAAATATGTTTATCTTTGCAGATAAACCCTAGCTGTTGTTAACCACCTACTACAGAATCTTTTTCAGGTGTTTAAAAATACTAAACATATTCCCGTTCCCCTTTATGATCTGGAAATTATGAAAATACTTTTCCTTTGGCTAAACATCCCCCGCCATCCCCAGAGGGTTCATACCATTTTCCCTTCTGTTTAGGGAAGCTGGTAGGACCATAGAGTATCATCTTCATTTTGCAAATGAGCAAACAGATCTCTAAATACCAAAAAATAAAACAAACAGCTCTTCTAAAATCATAGCATAAGCCAATGATAGAGAGAAAACATCCAATACAATAAACAAATTAAGTAAAAGATCCGCTACTTCAACCTATTGTAGTTGTCTTATTCTTGGCAATACTGTGCAGTAATCCTGTGGCTCCTTATGTATCTTCATCTAGAATGGGATTTGGGTTATGTTGGGCATGTTTATGTTACAAGTTTATGGGTTTTTTTTTTTTTTAATTATTATGTTCAGTTAGCCAACGTCTCGTACATCACTAGTTTTTGATGTAATCTTAAAAAATCTGACTTCATTTGGCTATATGCCCATCTGTTACTGAGCATACTCTATATATTTAGTTTAGTCCAGGCTTCTGCAATGTTCGGATTATCACACTTTCATATAAGATGACCATCCAGAGTATATTTAATCTGTTACTATGCTAGAGAAACAAGGGATAGATTAGGGCGAAGTGAAATTCTAATGACTGGAAATAGTATCAGTAGAGTGCTGAAATGTTTTTTTTTTCTTCTCCCTTTGGAATGGAGGTCAGAGTATTATTTCTCAGAACAATTATTTCTTTACTTAGGAGAAGAAATACCACTTGCAAGAGCGGGTTGACAAAGTAAAGAAGAAAGTGAAAGACGTGGAAGAAAAGTCAAAAGAATTTGTTCAGAAGGTCGAGGAAAAAAGCATTGATCTCATTCAGAAGTGGGAGGAGAAATCCCGAGAATTCATTGGAAGTTTCCTGGAAATGTTTGGTCCAGAAGGAGCGCTGGTATGTTCTTTCCTGGTGGAAAGTTTAGGGAATTTCAGGAAAATTTAGGGAATTTTCATGCTGTGGAAAGAATTATAGCATTATAGAAAGGAACATCAACATTAAGTAGTTATCTAATCTGTTCCTTATATTGGGCTGAACTATATTTCAACTATCCCCAAAAAGTTTAAAATAGTTACAGAAAGAGGTTACATATTCTCCTAAATAATTTTGCCAGCTGTCAACCTCCAAATCTGGTGATAAGTAAGTAACCTTGCCCAGCTTGCTTCTATATTATAGTTTTAGATAAAAAGGAAAGAACGAAGAACAGTAAAAAGAAAGCTGCCTCCACTATAAACAGCTGCTGCAGAGCTGCTGGGTGAGGTTAGAGTTCTGTCCTTGAGTAACAAGGTCTTTTCAAGCCAAATAGAAAGTGAATGTAGTTATTTAGCAAATGAGCCCTAGGATATCAGGAAGGATCTAACTGTGAAAGGATTTGATACCAGAACAGATTATTCAGGGAAAATATAGAATTTCCTTTTCAGAGAGCTCTAAAACTAGAATAGGTACTCTTTTGTCTGAGTTAGTTTCTTTGCCTGGAGCCTGGACTGCAGACCAAGTAGCCATTTAAGAATTCCTTTGACACAGAAGTTGAGAATTGGGTTACTATAGATAACATGTGGAAACCCTTAGATAAGTAGCATAGCATGGACTACTTTAGGGAGGAAACTGCTTAAAATTTTAGATATGTCCCTCCCCTAGCTTATTTGATCACTTTTGACATTGCACAGGGCACTCGTGATAATTTGAATTCTCAGATCCTCCAATGGTGATTTAGTAAGATCCCTAGGTTTCTTCTAATTCTTCTTTTTGGTCTCCCTAGAAACATATGCTGAAAGAGGGGAAAGGCCGGATGCTGCAGGCCATCAGTCCAAAGCAGAGTCCCAGCAGCAGCCCCACTCGGGAACGCTCCCCCTCCCCGTCTTTTCGATGGCCCTTCTCTGGCAAGACTTCCCCGCCTTCCTCCCCAGCAAACCTCTCCAGGCACAAGGCTGCAGCCTATGATATCAGTGAGGATGAAGAAGACTAAGTTTTCATCCCTCCTTTTCTCTTCCCTCCCTCTGTCCCATCACCTTTGGAAGGTCTCTGTTGAATTTCAAATTGTGATTCCAACACTAAACCTAAGGACAGCTACAAAGGAAAGAAAGTTGGGGCAGGAGGACGTAGGATGGGATCAGACAGCCCATCCTCCAAGAGGCATCACCTATCCACACCAAGAAAGAGGCTGACTACACCTCAGAAACCTGTTCTGCATCCATATACCCTCCCTACAGACTTTGCTTTACTGTTTATGTTCATGTGATTTTGACAGGGAAATTGTCATTTTTATTAATTTTTTAAAAAATTAGTCTTTCAAATGTTGTAAGTAGAACTAATTCTTTGCCCCTGAGGAGTGGGCAGAAGGAAGTGGTGTATTACCCAGAGGCCTTTTCTTCCCGATACACTATAGTGTTTGCCTTCTGTTCGTGGCTTGCCAGTCCTTCCAGCAATGAGCCATGCTGATGAGTGATTTCAGGGGGAGGGGAAATAGCATAATTTTGGTGTCCTTAAAAAAAAGCTAAAAGCTGAGTAAACTCAGTCACAAACCCCCTCAATGTACTGCTGGCACATGTGTCAATGTGGCTGTGAGAAGAAGGAGATCTGAGCCGAACTTTTCTTACTCCCTGAGGAGTTTCTTGTTGGACCCGATGGGGTCCATGGAAAGACACTGATGTGGATGGAACAGACCACATGGCATCAGCTGCGGTTTTCCTGCTGTGTTCATCTTCTCAGAAAACTCTGTTGCCCAGTTATTTGGGAGCTCTTGTCAATCTCTTTCCTACAGTCTACCTTTGAAGGAAGGAACACTTTCAGGTTTATTGTGATTGGGGAGGGGAGTGGGACAGTACTCAATCCTATAAAGGATCAGATTAGGTTAATTTTCCCATTTGGGTGTAAGTTCCTGGCCCTGCTATTTCAATGCTTATTACCTAGCTTTTTACAGAGGATACTTTGTAAATGTCTGCAGTTTGAACATGATCTGTTAATCCATGTTGCTCAAAGCCATATTGAATATTTAGAGAGATTTGCACAGAATTTAAACACAAAAGCATAAAGAACCGCCCCCCCTTCCTAAAGCCTTATCTTGAACTCTGTCCTTCTTAAGAATGTTCTTATGGAACTAATGCTCCAGGTGGTGTTTCTTTTCCTCTGAGAGTTGCAGTGGTTGGGACTTCCCTCCGCTGCCCCTCCAGTAGGCCACAAAACATGACAAGAGAATGGCAGGTTCTCTCCCTTTCCCACGTGTGCCTGGTGGTTATGGTCCCACTTCTCCTGTTAGGTTGCCCAGGAGGATTCGTCACTTATATTCCACATCAGAGATGCTGAAGCTTGACACTTGCAGTTGAGTGTGAGCTCATTTTAAGCCTCTAGCATTCTGCAGCTACATGAACGAGCAGACCATCATCTTCAATAATCCTGTAGCTGGGTTCAGGGGTAAAATTGCTTATGTCCAGGCCCCACCCTGTCACTCATAAATAACCCCTTGTGGGGGTGGAGTTTTGGTGTTTTCAGCTAAGAAAACTGGATTTTATCTTTTCTTGCCCCTATGCTAGGGCTGTGAGCATCTCATAGTCTCTTCCCTGAATACTTTCTGGTAAAACCTGCTCTTCTGCCTGAGGATCAGAGGCTAGAATCACTGCCTGCTTGCACAGCAGGACTACCTGGTTTCCTAAAACTCCAATCACCCAGAGAGGCAGAGTAGAGACACAAAGAGAGGGAAATCTCTTGTTGTCCTGACAGCTTATGTAAACTACATTTCTGACTCTTCTCATGAAGTGCTATTTTTGCTATCAAATACAGTTTACATGAGCTTTGGCTTGGAATCCTTTTTTTGAAACAGTTCAAGTTCTTGTTTTCCTACATTAACCAGCTTCATAGGATCACATATTTTAACTTTTCTGATTTAGTCTTCCCTCTTTGGGAATTCTGCCTATTTCTGTCTTATTCTCCCTGGTATAGAAAGATGATGAAATCATCACTGAAGGTCACCTACCTGTTCCCTCAAAGTACATATTGGCCAAGCGTATTTGGCAAGGGAGATGCTCAGAATGTGGTTTTCCTCTCTGCATGTCACTCCTCTCAAGTTTACTGTCTGGGACCTCTTCCTCTGCTCTGTCAGTGGGCTACTTTGGGCATTCCCTGCCCTTGGAGTATAACCGCTGTGCTGATAAGTTCTGTGAGACCACCAGGGCCAGCATATGCACATGTGCTTGGAAAGCGTCTCACCCCTTTTGACGAGCCTCTGTGGCCTCAGTCTCCTAACACTAGTGCATCCTCAAATAATTTTGACTTAAAGCTATAACTTTTATTGTGCGGCATATTAGCTACTTTGGGATAAATGTGATCCTAGGTGCTGGACAAGGATGGGTGGAGGGAAGAAGCTGTTGGGATGATGTATTATTTGATCATTTGTGCCTAATTAAATGAAGTTAGTGGTTTGCCTACCATGACCATGCCTGTGATCTGTAAATCTTCTATTATTAATTTTAGTATTAACTGTTAATATTGATTTCTAATATTAATATTAATTAGCCATTTCCCTGAATCCCGCACACAAAGCAATAAGCCAAATGTAGCAGAGATGGGAGAGCCTTAAAGCCTCTGAAGCCACTGGTTGGCTTCAGAGCTCAGGCTGTGAGACAGAAGGATGGAGACAAACCCAGGAGCTGGTGCTGAGGAGGTGCTACTTCATTTACCCTGAGATGGCTGGGCCGAGAGTGTGCTCTTTTCATACACTAGACTCAGTAGCACTAAGGAACAGAGGTTGAAACTTGAGAGGAGTAGAAACAGATTCTTTGTACTGCTGCAGCTGTTTCTGATAGAGCCAAAGACGATTATTTCACGGAGGCTTGGGTAAGAAGGCTGGGGATAGGAGGACGTTGAAGATGCTAAATAAGAAAAAATATGAAGCATTATGAGGTCAAGAGAACTTCTGACTTTTTCTGATTGCCGATAACCCAGCACCCGAGTCAGATTTTTCTTATTTTACTTGTGACCACACAACTGGTCAGGCAGCCTCCAGATATTCCGCACCCCGCCCCTCCAGATGGTTCTTCACAGTGCTTTTGTTTCTCCGGATTATCTTGATTTGTGGGGAGCTTTTGTTATTCGGGAGCTCATTGCTTTTTTGACCCTGTTCTAGATCTCTGTCTAAAATCTTTCCAAATCAATTATATTTTGCTGCTTTTCTTTAATTCCCTAAAAGCCTTAGCGTCTACATTTTCTGTCAGCACACACTTTCACCAGAAGTTGAACTAATACAGGTAGGAAAACTCCCTTAGCAATGTTTTTAACTAATGGTTTTTTTTTAAGCTTACCAATGTAAGTATTTTTAAAGATTGTATTTTTCAAAATCATACAATGATTGTTCTTGTTTTCTCTCATAGAATAGATTGTCATGGGATAAAGAGTGGTCCCTAGCTTCTATTTTTCCAAATAAGTAGAACATGTTCTTGGGATTATACTATTAAATGTTAATTTTCTTTAAAAGAAAGAAAGATTTTCTGTCTGCCAAAGTTTTATGTTAATTCTCAGATTGGGATAGAAAACAAAAGTGCTAGGTTTAACACTAAGATGACTCAGGTTGTGTTCCTTTAGGTTTAAAGAGGGCTTTCCCACCCTTCTTAGGGGGCACTGACTGTTTTAAATACAGAGAGTTGATTGGTTGGGTTGCTTTGTATTGAGGATCTTGAAAAGAAAAAGGCGTGTGGGAAGAAACACTGCCCTTGGTGTGAATGTTAGCCCCATCCCCAGTGCCATCATCCACAGGGCGTTTTCCTCAATCGGTGTTCAGTATATTGTTTTCCTATGTGAGTGTTATTAATTTGTTCAGTTATTTTGGCCTTCGTCATTAGGCAAATAAAGGCAAAGTGGTTTTACCTAATGTTCTATTTCCTGTGTGTTTGACCTGGTATACATGTGTATAAGATGTTTTATGTATTTGGGACTTTTACCTATACCCTCAGTTCCTTGGCTTTTGCATCCTAATTTGTCTCCTCAAAATTGTTCCATGACCATATTATCAGGGAAATCCTTTTGCAGCTTTGCATAGAGGGCCCAAAAAGCCATTGTGCCTCTAAGGGAGGCTGATCCAGATCTATGAGGTCTAATGTCATCAGCGTCCTAATGACATCTTAAGAAGCCTGGTTTCTTTTGAGACTTTAGGTTTGTACTATTTTTGCCTGGTTGAGTTCTTTTTTTTTTTTTTTTTAGTTGACATACAATGTTACATTAGTTTTAGGTGTACGACTTAGTGGTTTGACAAGTTTATACATTATGCTATGTTCACCACAAGTATAGCTACCATCTGTCCCATTACATTGCTATTACAATATCATTCACTGTATTCCATTTTTTTTTAAGATTTTATTTATTTATTTGAGAGAGTGAGAACAGGTATGCATGGGCAGAGGGAGAGGGAGAGTCTTAAGCAGACTTTGCACTGAGCACTGAGCATGACACAGGGCTCGATCTCATGACCCTGAGATCATGACCTGAGCCAAACTCAAGAGTCAGATGCTTAACCAACTGAGCCACCCAGGCCCCCCTCATTGACTGTATTCCTTATGCTCTGCTTTTTATTCTTGTGACTAACTCATTCCACAACTGGAGGCCTGTATCTTCTACCCCTCTTCACCCATTTTGCCCAACCCCTCACCCGCTCTCCTCTGGCAACCATCAGTTCTCTGTATTTATAGTTCTGATTCTGCTTTTCATTTGTTTATTCATTTTCTTTTAGATTCCGTTTATGAGTGGAATCATATGGTATTTGTCTTTCTCAATCTGACTTATTTCACTTAGCATAATACCCTCTAGGTCCATCCATGTTGTCTCAAATGGCATGGTCTCAGCCTTTTTTTATGGCTGTGTAATATTCCATTGTATATGTAAACCGCATTTTCCTTATCCATTCATCTGTTGATGGACACTTAGGTTGCTTCCATGTCTTGGTTATTGTAAATAATGCTGCAATAAACATAAGGGTTTGCCTGGTTGAGATCTACTCCTGTTTTATAACAGGCAAACTACCATATACTTTCCCCTCTTTCATTGGCTTTGGGAAAATTTAGAGTGACCTTTCAATATATAAGCTTCAAGGGCTAATAGTGTTACCCACAGAGGCAATGTACCCAGTTACAGAATTTTAAACTCTATCCTGTTTATTATAAAACTTAAAATACCTTCTCCAGGCAAGATCCAAAATAATTGCATCCTATTCCATAATTCTCCTTTATCCCCTATAGTCAAATGTAATCTATCAGCTTGTGCTGAAAATGGAATCCATCCCCATTTGGTCAAGGTTGAGGGACAGTGAGGAAATCTTGTGCCTGTTTAATGTATACAGTGTCTCTTATCAATGTCCATCTTGGACTTTGAGGTCAAATCCAGGTCTGAGGAAGCAAAAGGTTCATATCCAACCTTGTTGTCTTTCCTTCGGTAGTACATGCGTGTCAGCACAGTCAGTAGAAAAGTCTCCAGTACGAGGAGGTGGCAATTCATCACTGCAGCATGGAGTGAAATATAATATAAGTTATGCCAAATCGTAGAGGTGGTATCCCACTAGCAGCCCTGGCATATGAGTTCAGCAACACTTTCTCCAATTTGTCCTCAAGCCAAGTCTAAAG